TTGGCTGTATAGAGGAAAGGAAAGCAGGGGAATGTGAAGGAAAAATAATAATAATGCAATCTTCCATTTTCTAACATAGACAGTTGGCAATACTGTGCTTTTCCAATTAAGATGATAGCATCTGGACTACTGTAATCCTTAAGGTTGTAAACTGTGTCATGTTGCCCAGAGTGGATTCATCAGTCAGCTGGCAATAATTTATATGATTAAAAAGAAAGACATTGCCCATAATTTTACTGTAGGGTTGTTATGTTGTCTTTTGGGTTTGTTTTTTGTATTTTTTTTCCTGTGGAAAATAATTTGTCAAAAGCATTGTACTGGAAGAAAAAAAAACCGGCAACAAAATTAGCAAAACATCTTCCTTTGTCTTCTCTTCCCTGTTCAAAAATACGTAATATAAATAACTAAGCTGAGGGTTTAATGATTTTAAGATAAACTTTTTACCCACTAGATGAGATTATTTATTATGCTGGACTTGATTCCTACAGTGCTGCTCAGGCTAGCTGCAGAGTGGGGAGAGAAGCATGCAGCTTTAGAAGGGAAGGCCAGGATGGCAGGTGGGGCTGTGGGACTGCTGCCACCAAGACAGGTAGGGCAGGGGACAGCAGAGGGTAAAAATAATCAACAAACCCAGGGGCTGGGAAATCCTCAGCAATGAGAAGGAGTTCAGAAGGTGCAACTTAAACAAAGACAAACTGACACAATTTTCACTGAGTCCCTTTCCTTAGTCCTTTCTCTGGCATCCAACTCAATGTTTGGATTAGTAATGCTGTTATTCTGCAAGTGCCTAATAGTGGCTGCAAAGAAATAACTGCTCTTTTATGAGGAGATCTTTTGGTGTTTCTTCTTTGAAAAAAATAGAATAAATCTGTCAGTAATTTCAACAGTTCTGTGAGATTATGAAGTTTCTTTTCATTTCCTCCACATCATTTGTATCATGAGTTCAGAACTCAGGTTCTAGTCTGAGCAACATGCCTGCTGAGTTAGGCTCTCTGAGCTACATTGGGACTGCTTAAGTGCAAAGACTTGCTAAAAAGAAATTGAGGGCTCTCCTGGAGCCAAGAAACCTTCCCTCACGAGTTCCTTGTTTGAGCCTTGTGTAAGGATTCACACCTGTGCTGAAATGGGAATGCTGAACACCTGTGCTGAGCAGGTTGAAATGGGAATGCCCAACACCTGTGCTGAGCTGTTAGAAGAGGTTATAAAAGCTGGCAAAAGGGTAAACCAGCTGCTCATAACTTCAGAATTCAGGTAAGCAGCAGCCTATGCGAAGTTTTTTCTAGCTCTTTGGTTTGTTTCTTTTTGTTCTGGGATTTTTGGGGTTTTTTTTGTTGGTTAGTTGGCTTATTTGTAACATGGATTCAAGTTCTAAATGTTTTTCATATAATTTCTCGCGCTGTTGGCTTGTATTGATTCCAGATTGTTCCTTGCTTTCCTTAGTGAGACCTGGTACTTGGTTAGTGTAGCTCCCTTCTTTCATGACTGGAAGTAGGAGTAATCATAAAGGAGGAAAAATGATGATTTTCATGATATGCTGGAAGTGGCAGCTGCTGTATTGGCCAGAGCTGCTCTGGCAATTTCTATCTTGCCCATTCCTACATATCCAAGAAAGGCCAGTTTGTACCCAGCATATTTTCTCTAATATATTCAGTACTGATGGCAAGCTGACTGTGTGTTAAGCTTTAAAAATTTCTGTAAGTAAGGTTATATATGCCTGTAAAGAAAGAGGGAAGAGTGATTTGAATGCACAAGATAAGTTATCATCACAACCACTGCTCAAATGCCTGCATTTCTGAGCAGCTTCTCTGTAACAGTAGCATGAGAGGGAGCTGGAATTTGCCAGGAATGTGGTGAGGCTGGGAGAAGTGAGCGGTTTTTTCTTTAATTGTGAGAAACACAATCACATCTGAACTTTGGCTTAGTTCACAGAGGTGTCTTGAGATCCTGTGACTTTATGTGAGCCCAAAACAACAAATAACACATCTTCCTTTCAAGACTATTTCCTTGAAGCTACTAAGGGTTGCAGTATTCACTTAAATGACTGAAAAATGCAGTAAACTCTTAGCTTCATCCTCAGAAGCAGCTTTAAAAAAGTAGATAAAATCGTGATTTAATATCCTTTGATGCAACAAACATATTTAATGGAAGGGCACAGTCAGCCTTCTCTCCAGTAAGGCAGCACCAGATTCTGTCAATCACCTCCAGCCTTTAGAAGAAGGGTTTTCTGATGGAAGAGGTTGATATTCTCCTCATTGTGTCATAGAGGCACAGTAGACTTGCCATGAACTTTATAGATGTGGGTGGTGTTTCACTAGAATAGAGGTGAAGCTTCTTTTTCAGTTTGATTCCCACCTCCAAAAGTCATCACCAGGGGACCTGTGCAGCATCCATGAGGTTTTGAGCTGGTTTTGCATGAGTGAACAGCAAGTAGCTCTATGCCCTTGGTTTCATCACAGTTCTTTAGAAGATGTGAGTTGACAGCATCAAAGTGACTTGCATTGATCTTTGCTACTCACCAGCTACTCCAGCTTCATCTCTAATCTCAGTATATTCACTATTTGAGTTAGTTTATTATTAGAAGATGAGCAAAGATCACTACCAAACCCCTTCCTAATGTTCCCCCTCCCTCATCTCCCTGCTACTGAAAGCAATCCATTTACTTTTTTAGATTATTTTTAGCTAACAGCATGCGAAATTTCCTTTTGGTGTAGCTGGGAACGTGTAAATAGATAGGGATTACCTGAAAATGCTGCTAATGAATTAGTATATGTAATGCTCAAGGAAGCTTAGGCACACAATCACAGAGGTCTGTAAAAAACATCCCTAGGTTGTTGAAGAGCAGGGAGCAGTCTGTGCTTACCAAGTCACACCATGCAGACTTACTGGCAGGAGTGTTTACCCTGCCAGCAGTAACTGCAAATTGCAGGCAAGCTTCTCTAGCAAGGCAGGTGGGGCACAGTCTGCTGTGGGAAGCATGTCCTGGGCACAAAAAGCACTGAGTCACTTTGCTGAAGGACTGCATTGCTCTGGAGAACAGAGCCAGTTTTACATAGGGGCAGAGCTTTGCAATTGCCCCCTTGACCTTGGAGAAGAGGAACTGATGCTTGAGTAGAGAAAACCACAGACTCACACCAAATATTCTGAATTGGAAAGAACCCACAAGGCTCATTGACTCTTACTCTTAAGTGAATGGCCTGCACATGGGTCACACTCTCAACCTTGGCGCTATTAGCACCATGCTCTGACCACTGGGCTAATGCAGACCCTAGTTGTCCCTCTGCTGTGTGATGGGGAAAAGGAGGCGAGGAACTCCTTGTGGTATTTTATTGGTATGGGAGCATCTAAGTACCTTTTATCCCAGGGAAATAAATGGCTCCAGCTAAAATGCTTTGTGTTGTGTGGAGAGTCTGCTGCTTCTGAACATGGAAGAGAGGTAGAAGCTCTACGAAATGGCTGGATAACCTCTGCTTTTGAAGGCAGAGCTAAAACCTGCAGGGGCTTATTAGACAGGACTATAAAATCTTATTGCTGAGACATGATTCTTGGTATTAATCAATGATTAAATAACAATTTAGCCATATAAATTCCTCCCACTTTTGAGGCACAAAAGAGCTGTGCTCATTTATTCCAGCCAAGAATTTGATATAATAATTTTGGGAAGACTTCCTGTTTCTTTCATTTTCACCAGAGTTCTGTGTTATGCAAAGAGATTGTGGCATGAATGTTACCTGGCCCAATTTCTGTGTGTAGTTAATTGACTTAGCTTTTTTCTCTGCATGTCAATTCCACACACAAAAGGATGTTTTAAATCACAGCCAATTGCTGAGAACACTTTCAAGGAGTCTTTTATTTAAAAAAAAAATCCTAAATAATCTGTATTCTTTTATTCTCCCATTATACAATTGTCAAGTTTTCAAGCAAGCAATATGGTATTTTTCTACTAAGCTTTCTAGTCCCAAGATTTCTGTTTATTCCAGAAATATCAGACATTCTACACCATTCGTTCTATAAGAATCTAACCCTGTATACTTTACTAAAACTTCTTGGGATACTTTTGTCCAACAAACACAGACCTGAGACATCTACATAGGGATAGTTCATAAAAAATAAAAGAACACTTAGGGATGACAGGAACTTTATAGAGTGCATAAATATTGCATGTAGGTCTCTAAATGGTGCTTGGCTCAGCCTTCAATAGAATATCTAGGATACCTTTCCTGGAATGACAGTGTCATGAAGTCATTTGAGTAGTAATTTGTTTGGAGCAATACCTGTGACTTCTGGTGTGTGCTGGAAATTTTAATTCAGGCTCACAAATGTTGAGAATAAACACTTGAAATCACTAGGCTGGTAAAATATATAAGCTACTTTTTATGACCTTGAGTTGAGTGAAGTTGTAGTATCAGCAGAAGTGTGTTTTGAGTTGTGAAAAAAATGGTCTCTTTAGAGAAAGTCTCAGTTTGTACAGAGAGCAAATTTGCTGGGAATTCTTTTTAAAATGATGATTGGAAGACAAGAGGGGCCTTCATCAAAGGGGAAAACTTGAAGGAAGAGAAAAGAAAATGAAGGGCAAGTGTTTGAGTTTTGAAGGCTAGATACTGGATTGAGGAAAGAGAAGGATAGAGGAAGGATATAAAAACAATGTGCATTGGGGAAAGGAAAATGAGGCAGAAAACAGCATATCAAAAAATGGAGAGTAGGATGAAGAAAAAGAGCAGAGTCAGGAGGAGAAAGAGTATTGAAGCAGTGCTGGAATTAGGCCAGTGCTGGACTGTGGCAGTTCACGAAAGGGCCCTGACAGCTCTTGTAATGAGGGACAGGCTAATTGAAATTTGTCCCTCTCCAATTCTGATGGGTAAATTCCAGACTCAGTGAGAGAAGCACACAGAAAAAGGCAGAATGAGGAAGAGCTCTCCAGCATGACTAGGAACACACTTGTAATACCAAATATAAAAGGAAAAGAATATAGTTTTTCCAATTGTTGTTTTTTTTCTTTGCAGCACAGAGTGCATTATCACTGACATGGAACACAAATGGACTTCAGTCAAGTTCCAACTTTAAGCACTGGGTCTGAGGAGACTTCTTAAATGTAAGTCATTTGGATATTAATATATAAATTATTAAATTTTTTCTGTGTACAAAAATGTTATGATTTGGGGGCAGATGAACTGAATTTTTGTGTGTTACTAAATAGCTGAATGTACATTTTAAATAGGAAGCTTAGTGCAGGCTGTACCACAGGATCATGGCTGATCTTCTTTACAGGATCTCCTGTAATTAACATTACCAATTATATAAAAGAGGAATGTATTTATTATGTAAGGTCTGCAGCTAACTATTTATACTGGGAGATGTGATACTTCTGGTCTATTTTATCTATCATTAAATCATGGAAGGAAATAGGTGAGGCAAAGGATCCTTGACTTTTTCCAAAGAGTCTTCCTTTGTGTGAATTAGCTTAATACTTTTTAAGAGCAAAGTACAGTTTTAAATAGAAGGCTGGAAGAAATTGTTTAAAAAATCATTTTTTATGTAAACCTAGTGTTTTGGGAAAGTAATCACAGAGTAAAATATACGTGAAGTATTCTTTTATATAAGGTGGGAAATACTTCTCAACACTCCAAATTATGGGACATATCTCACTTGTACTAATTTAAGGGAGAGGCAACTGCTGAGGCAATGCTGATGCAAAATCCACTGAAGGTCTGCCCAAGTGGTGAGGGGTGTGGTTCAGCCAAGTGTGCAAACACATGCTAAAATTCATTCCCACTCCCAGCATATGCTTCCATGTGCTATTGCTCCACCCTCGCACAGTTTATGTCAGCTATAGCATAGTCCCAAAGCTGCAATATCCATCATTTCAGAAGGAATTCAGAGCTGTAGGCTGTGGGAGTAAATGTGTTCTCATCAGCTTCTGGGCCCTGCACGTGGGGTGCAGTGCTGCTCGTGTCCTCACTCAGCCAAAGGCACAGCCTCAGAGCCTTTCCCAGCACCAAGAAGGGTTCTCTGTAGCTGGATAAGATGTTTTCATCTTGAATTCTTTTGGAGTCTTTTTTTGTATTTAGTAAAATCCAGCCATTCTGTTAATGTGCTGAGATAAAGTAGTGATTGGCACCTTAGAAATACTTTAGACAGACAGATAAAAGGATTCCAAATGCATCCTTTGTGAATTTTTAATAAAAGATTTTGCATTGTCCAGTGATGAAAACAAATCATCTGTGGAAAGACAAAACTGTTTTCCTTAGTATCATTCACTGAGGATGTTTGTATATGTTTGGTGTCTGATATCATCTTAAGCTTTATCATTTAACCATTTCTAGTGACAAGATATGTCACTTGACAAGCTCTTGTGCTTTGTATCTGCCTCTTTTTCTTTCTTTTTCCTGGGTTTCAAAGTCTGTGCTGTGTTTTTCACACAATGATGCAATTGATGAGCAGGTGAAGTTTTCTGACAGTAAATTGTTTCTTTAAAAATTCAAACATTTTGGGTTTATTTCAAATTCCAGAGAAACCAGAAAAACTGGTGAAAATTTTTCCTTCAGTTTCTTTCAACCGGGGTTAGACCAAAGAACCCTCTGTATCACAGATCTCTCGGGGGTCCAGTACCAACAGTCACTCTGACTGGACTTGACCTTGCTTTGATTTTTTTTGCTGCACTGACATGCCTCATCTTTCCAAAATTACAAATTACTGAACTATTCACAGAACCATATCACAGAATAGTTTAGGTTGGATGGGAATCTTCAATATCATCCTGTTATCCTAATACTAGGGCGAGGAAGAATTTTTTCAAGTGTTCAGTGTATGGTGACAAATAGTATATTTTATAAATTAATTTCAAGTTAATGCTAAATTATAGACTCACGTACTACATACACTTTACTACTAAAAGAGTTCATCATGTTTCATGTTATTACAGTGAACACCAAAGGATTTAATAATGATTTGCACTTCTTATAGAGTGGTACCAGTGTAGTAAAAAGAAGGTTAGTCTAATTAAATTCCACAAACCACTTTAGGGCTCTGCCGTATTGTGGCGACTGTTTTTTGTTAATTAATTCTGAATGAAAGGTTTCTGAAGTGTTTTAATATTGTTCAAAGAGGTACCTGGAAGTATTTCAGTTTGCTTTTTTTTCAAGTCCAGGATACTTTGACCAAGTAAGCATCACCCTTTCCATGATGAGTTCCTGCATGCTGTATAAATTAGTAAATAATAATGCACTGAATTTTCTAGAATTTTATTGAGAGATAGAGCTGAAGTTGGGTGAGGCTATTGCTGTGTTCTGACAAGAGACAACTTGGGGAGCAAAACCTCAGGCCTAGAAGTTCCACATCCAGTTCACTTTCTTGCAGTACACAGAGTTGCTGGGCAATGCATTATGGATTTACCTCCCCTTTGGAATTGTTCCAGTCCTAATTCCTAGTGTTCCACAAAAATAAATGCTGCACCATATTTGGCTTAGATTTGAGTTTGTGCAAATCTGACTTTTTGGTGATCTAGGGCAGTAGTTCCAGGGGTGAAAGGGTACATTTTTGCATGTTATTTGTTTTCTGGTTCTTTTTAATTGTCATAAAGCAGAGAGGTAGAAAACATCTCTTGGTAGCATTTTGGTGACCTGCCTAGTTTCTTTTCAGCTTCCCTTAACTGTTGTTGAGTAATAGAAATATTTCAGACTGGGATTTGCACCAAAAAAAATAGCTGTGAAAAAACAAATGTGAAAATTTGCATTGCCTCTCCTTCTACAGAAATTCTTGGGAATGTTTTTGCTTTTAGACTTCTAATAGACCTGTTTGGAAATCCTATTCAAGCTGAATGTTTTAAACCCCAATTCCCTTAAGCACATGCTTCACGTGTTAGGCATGTGTTTAAATTCTCTTGATTTAGTGTCATATACTTAAGGGCATTGCTAAATAAAGAAGGGCATGAGCATGTACTTAAATGCTTTGCTGATCAAAGGAGCAAACCTTTTGATTTGATCTACATTTAATGCAAGTTAGATCACCTATCCAGTAGTCAAGAATTTACTGAAAGTCTCTACTAGAGACAGCTTGTGATTAAGCTGTGTTCTTCTGGCTATGGAAATGGGAAGGGCTGCATAATACAGCACATTTCTTAATATATTTTCATGACATTGGTTGTAAATTACATTTTCAAGTGCTATAGTCTCACTGCAAATAAAAGAAGGGATCAAGACAGTAAAAATGAAAAGAGAAAAGAGGGGTTTGGTTGTTAAAGACATATATTCAGTCAAAAACCAGAATGATTCAACATGGTTTATGTTCTTAATATTTTTTCTTCCTATATAAAGTACAGTATGTAACACATCTCTTCCTCCTTACACTAAAAATTTATATTCAGGATACTCTAATGAAGTACATCTTGAGTCTCCTTTTCATGGCTAATGAGGAGACAACAAGAATTTGACTAATACTAGTACAATTACTGGAGCAGTGAAGCGTGCATCTCTGATTAGATGTGATAATTTGCAAGGCTGGGCTCTTCACATTAAGTTTGCAAACAGTTTAAAAATCACTTCCTCTATTTATCCAGCTAATCTCTGTTTAATGACTCCAGACCTGACAAAAGAAAGAGAAAACGTCTCTTAAAACCCCATACTTCATTTATGAAGCTTGTATGTAGAGGAGAGGCGTAATTGATAGCAAATTTTTTCCAGAACACTTTTAAATGAAGCCATGCAGCTGATTTTTACTATGCAGCAGTATTTTTATTATTCTTGTAGTACTCAGTCTCCTTTCCATAGAGCTTTGTTGTCTTTGTCTGGGTTTAGATATGTATTTCTACTGACTTTGGCTCTTCTGATTTGCCCTTTGAATAAATACTTGGTAATCTGTAGAACATGAATGTTTTTGTTAGATTTGCTTTTTTGTTTTTGGTAGAGTGACTGGTGATGGTGCTGTTAGAAAATTCTTTATCAGTCATCACTGTCTTGGACAGGCAGGTTTTAAATGGAATCAGGCACATACCATTCCAGATTTTTGAAATATTCCTTCATCTTGGAGGCCTCTGTTCACCATTGGAACTTGAAGCAAAGCTGGCCAAAACAACAGGAGCTATGGTTAGAATTCTTGATGAATTTAGTTAAGCAAGCAGAAGCAGCTCTGGCTGTCAGTAGGTGGCACTTGTCCTGAGGCAGGAATGAGATGATATTTAAAAAGGACAGCCAGCGTTTCAGTCAGGCATAAAAATGGATGCCTTCATGCACAACTCTGTCCCAGAACAGTTCACTTACAGAAATAAAATATTCTAGGTGTGACTGCAGAAAAAGAACTTCCATTAGAGGATTTAAATAAGTTTGCCAAGTCACTTCATACACTCATAGCTGGACCAAGTGCCACTGTATTGTCTCCTCATTCCATAGTGGCATCATTTGATTGCAATTTCTTTTAGGATCCTCTAAAACTGAGTAAAAACAGACTCAAAACCAATATACTGTCACAGGAACATAGAAAGGATTCAAGACTGTGACTACCACAGATACTTTCTGGAGTTTTGCCTAAAATGTGTAAAAGCAGAAGTATGGAAAGAGGATCGAATGCTCAGCCTGTTGTTTTGTACATATTTACTTGCTTATATAGCTTCCAGAGAGCAAAATCAGCGCTGTGTTAAGTGTCTTGTTGAAGATGGGCTCTGGGATTTCCCTGCCTATTTTAGTGAATGATACCTACAGCCCTTTTGTTTCCACTGAAAAGCAGCAGTTGTTACCAGGATTGTGTGGAACAGACAGAAAATGTGCATCAACTTTTTTCTGGACCTATGGAAGTTATTTGTGTCAGAGAGGGGGGAATCCTTAGAGGAGTTTTGGCAGACTGCACGGAAAGGCATCTTTAAATACTGAAGGCATATGAATCTTTCTCCTCTTCCAGACCAAAAAGGAGATAAACACAGAATGTTGTGGGATTTAGTTCTTGGGGGTGGCAGCTTCTAAAACTGATCTGAATTCTCAGTGGCAGAGCATCCTCCCTGAGAAGTAGGATAGGGTGGAGGCAGTGCAAAATGACATCACCTCTTGCTGTTACTAATGTGATGGAAAATGGCCAACGTGACTTCAGAA